ATCGACCGCGACCATTTCCTTTGCCGTTTCCAGCTTGTGGGCAAGGCCGTCCTCGATCGCTGCCTTCGAAACGAAGGTCACCGAGGAATTTGTCAGCGCCTTGCCGAAGGCGCCAAACATGGGCCGGTAGTGGACCGGCTGGGGTGTCGGGATCGAAGCGTTGGGATCGCCCATGGGTGCGGCGGCGATCGATCCGCCGAGCAGGATCATCGCCGGTTTGACACCGAAGAATGCCGTGTCCCACAGCACCAGATCGGCGCGCTTGCCGACTTCGATGGAGCCGATCTCGTTCGAGATACCATGCGCGATGGCCGGGTTGATCGTGTATTTGGCGATGTAGCGCCGGACGCGGAAATTGTCGTTGTCGCCCTGCTCCTCGGGCAGGGCGCCGCGCTGGCGCTTCATCTTGTCGGCGGTCTGCCAGGTGCGGATGACCACTTCGCCGACGCGGCCCATCGCCTGGCTGTCCGAGGCGATGATCGAGAACGCGCCCATGTCGTGAAGAATGTCCTCGGCGGCGATGGTCTCTTTCCTGATCCGGCTTTCCGCGAAGGCCACATCCTCGGGAATGTTGGAATCGAGGTGATGGCAGACCATGAGCATGTCGAGATGCTCATCGATCGTGTTGACCGTGTAGGGCCGCGTCGGGTTGGTCGAGGACGGCAGCACGTTCGGCAGGCCGCAGATCTTGATGATGTCCGGCGCGTGGCCGCCGCCGGCGCCCTCGGTGTGGAAGGCATGGATGGTGCGGCCGTGGATCGCCTCGATGGTGGATTCCACAAATCCGCTCTCGTTCAGCGTGTCGGTGTGGATCATGACCTGCACGTCGAACGCGTCGGCCACCTTCAGGCAGCAATCGATGGCGGCCGGCGTCGTGCCCCAATCCTCGTGCAGCTTCAGCGCGCAGGCGCCGCCCAGCACCTGTTCCTCAAGGGCCGCGGGCAGGGACGCGTTGCCCTTGCCGGCAAAGGCGAGGTTCATCGGGAAGGCATCGGCGGACTGGATCATTCGGCCGATGTGCCAGGGCCCGGGCGTGCAGGTGGTGGCGAGCGAACCGTGCGCGGGGCCGGTGCCACCGCCGAGCATGGTCGTCACGCCGCTCATCAGCGCATCGTCGATCTGCTGCGGGCAGATGAAATGGATGTGGCTGTCGAACCCGCCGGCGGTCAATATTCTGCCTTCGCCGGCGATTGCCTCGGTGCCCGGTCCGATGATGATGTCGACGCCCGACTGGGTGTCGGGATTGCCGGCCTTGCCGATCGCCGCGATGCGCCCGTCCTTCAGGCCGACATCGGCCTTGTAGATGCCGGTGACGTCGACGATCAGCGCGTTGGTGATGACCGTGTCGACGGCGCCGTCATGGCGGGTCGTCTGGGATTGGCCCATGCCGTCGCGGATCACCTTGCCGCCGCCAAACTTCACTTCTTCGCCATAGGTGGTGAAGTCGTTTTCCACCTCGATGAACAGTTCGGTGTCGGCCAGGCGCACCTTGTCGCCGGTGGTGGGGCCGAACATGTCGGCATAGGCGGCGCGGGAAATGCGGGCGGGCATGTTTGGGTATCCTAGTAACAGTAGGAGCCGCCTTCGGCTCGGCAGTTGAATCTTTCGATTGCTTTGTTGGCTTGATCGATCACCTCGGACTGCTCGTCTTCGAGGCAATCAACGTAGTCTTCGGCTTCTCGTACGAACTGCTCGACGTCATTCCTGCAGCTGTCAAATGCCCACCGGTCGTCGAAGTAGCCAGACCCGTCGAGGCAATAGGGCTCCGTTGGTTCAGAGCAATAAAGGAAAGCATGAGCGCCAGATATCGGAACCAAAATACTTGCCATTGAGGTTAGTATGCGCACATGCAAGGCGGTGGCTATTTTCATCCTTCCTCCAACAGCAGCAAAAGTTCTTCGGTGCGTTCGCGTGTCATCTGCGCCTTGCAGGAGTTCTCGATCAGCGGGCGGATCGAGCCGCCGGCATATTGCGCGCCCTCGGCGCCGCAATGGCCGTCGCGATAGTCGATCCATGCGCGTTGGGCCTTGAGCAGATTGTCGTGAAAATTGGCCTGTTCGGGATGATAGTCGCGGTTGGACTCATCCAGGGCCTTGGCTTTTTCGACCACCAGCGGCCAGGCGACATTCAGCGCCCGGTCCGCACGCTGCCAGTCCTGATATGCGCAGAAATTCATGCCCTGCTGCGGCAGGTTGCCCGGATCGTCGCAGTTCCAATCCTGAGCGAGCGCGGGCAGGGCGGCAAGGCAGAGCGCGGCGGCGACGGGCAGCCGCATCACAGGCTCCCCATGATCATCTTGCGGAAGCCATAGACCTCGTGACTGCCGCCGATATGGATCAGCGTGACGTCGCGAGTCTGGCCGGGCTCGAAGCGCACAGCGGTGCCGGCGGCAATGTCCAACCGGCAGCCGCGCGCCGCTTCCCGGTCGAATTCCAGCGCCGGATTGGTTTCGAAGAAATGATAGTGCGAACCCACCTGCACGGGCCTGTCGCCGGTGTTGGCGACGGTCAGCGTGACGGTCTCCACGCCGGCATTGAGCTCGATATCGGCGTCGGCCGTGATGGTTTCACCGGGGATCATGACTGCGCTCCATAACCTATGTTGTGAAATTCTTGTATTGAAAGTCTCTTCCTTGGAATTTTCGGAATTCTTCAAGAAATTTTTCGGCGTTGACTATAAATATTCTCTTTTTCCACTCGCGATCTGATGAAAACAAAATGCTCATCCCTATTTTTGGTACTGTTCCCGTATCAAATCGAACGGCGTGAATAATTTGGTCGCAAATGAACCGTAGGTCTTTGTCAACGCGGAATCTCGGTGCTTTACTAAGATCGTACGCGTCATAAACGCTGACATTTTGCCAGATTCCAGTGTCTGTTTTCCTAGGTGCACAATGCAAAGAAATGATTTGCTCTTTCGCTATCTCCGTCGCTTCTATATTACTCCCACATGTAAATACGTTTGAATTCTCCATTATTTTTCTAGAAATGTATGCTAGAGAGGCTATCTCCAATTCAAACAGAAAGAGATTCTCTTCATCATTTGCGCATGGAAGCATATCCTGAAGTGTCTTGGTTTTCTCAGATAGCTTATCGACCCACTGATCGAGTTGGATATGCACAGCTCATCTCCAACGGATTGTTGCATTCGCTAGCGTCCGTCACCGGATCGGCTCGTGGACGGTCACTAGCTTGGTGCCGTCGGGAAAGGTCGCCTCGACCTGGATGTCGTGGATCATCTCCGGCACGCCCTCCATGCACTGGTCGCGCGTGATCACATGGGCGCCGGCGGCCATCAGGTCGGCGACGGTGCGGCCGTCGCGCGCGCCCTCGACCACGAAGTCGGTGATCAGCGCGATCGCTTCGGGGTGGTTGAGCCTGACGCCGCGCGCCAGCCGCTTGCGCGCCACTTCGGCGGCCATGGCGACGAGCAGCTTATCCTTTTCGCGTGGTGTCAGTTGCATGCCATGTCCCCGGAGCATCGTCTTTGAACCGATGCTAGACCGGCGGCGCGCGCCGGGAAAGGCTGCAAGACCCGCGCAATCTGCTGAAATTTTGGGCGGCGAGTGCCCGTTCCCTGGTCAGCCGTGCAGCCAGTCGGCCAGCTTCGCCGTGCGCACATCGGCCAGAAGCGAGACGAAGCCGGCCGCCTGATGGGCCGCGGTCGCCGCGCCCTTGTCCGCCGTCGCGCGGGCCGCTTCGCCGACGACGCCCTCTGGGTGCAGGTCCGACGCGATCCAGGCCCAGGCGTGGGTGCCCTGCGGCGCGATATGGTCGAAGGCGGCGCGCGTCTCGACGGTGCGGGACGCAAAATCCCGCGCCTTGGCCATGTCGACGGTTTCGGGCCGGAAATGCAGCATCAGGGAGGTCTCGGCGTCGCCGCCATGGATGCCGAACTGGCGCTCGGTGTCCGAATAGAGCCCGTCGGGAAAGCCAAAGCGCATCCAGCTCGTCTTGACGGCAAGCATGTCGTGGCGGACGCGCATCTCGCGGGCGACGATCCCCATGATCTCCTCGTTTCCGCCGTGCGAATTGACGATCACCAGTTTTTTGATGCCGGCGCGGGCGATCGAATCGCCCAGATCGCTCCAATGGCCGATCAGCGTCGTCGCGCCGATGGTCAGCGTTCCCGGCACGCGGATGTGCTCGTTGGACTTGCCGGCGCACTGGATCGGCAGGAACCGCACGTCGAGATCGTCGGGCACCAGGGGGAAGACGGTCTCCAGCATGCCTTCCATGATCGCATGGTCGGTGGCGACCGGCAGGTGCGGGCCGTGCTGTTCGGTTGCCGCGACGGGCAGGACGGCGATGGTCCGCTCGGGGTCGAGGCCCTCGAACTGCCGGGCGGTGAAATCGCCCCACCAGAGCTTGCGGGTCATGGAGTGTCTCCTGCGCGCGCGGCGGCGATCGCCTCGATCTCGACGGTGAATTCGGGCCGCGCAAAGCCCGACACGATCATCAGCGTCGAAGCCGGCGCGGGGTCGCCGAACAGTTCATCGCGCACCTTCATATAGGGCGCCAGATGCTCGCGGCCCGTGACGAACGCATTGATGCGCACGATGTTCTCAAGGCTCATGCCCGCATCGCGCAGGATCGCGTCGATGTTGGAAAAGCAAAGCCGGGTCTGCGGTTCGGTGCCGGCCGGCACCTCGTCGTCCGGCGCGATGCCGAGCTGACCGGAGCAGAACAGGAGACGCGTGCCCGGCGGGACTTCGACCGCATGGCTGTATTTGGCGAAGGGTGCGCGGATCGTGTCCGGCGTGCGGTGAATGAGCATTCGGTCTGGTCCCCGGTAGATCGGGCCGATCATGCAAATGCGCGGCGCGATGACAAGGCATCACATGCCGCCAGCATCGCCGATTGCCTGTGATCATCGCGTCCGGCCCCTCGACAGGGATGCAAAAGCGTGGCGGTCTTCAACGCTGCCGCGCTGGCACGGGGCTTGCATCCTCATCGGCATCGGACAAGCATGGCCGGGCCGGTGCCTCACGCCGCGCCGCCATGCCAACAAAAAAGGTGTCATCGATGAAACGCATCCTTCTTGCCACGACCGCACTGGCCTTTGCCGCATCGGGCGCGCACGCCGCGGACAAGTTCGTGTTCGGCACCAACTGGCTGGCCCAGCCGGAACATGGCGGCTTCTACCAATCGGTGGCCGACGGCACCTACGAGGCGTGCGGCCTCGATGTCGAAATCCAGCAGGGCGGACCGCAGGTCAACAATCGCGCGCTGCTGCTCGCCGGCCGGATCGACGCGCATATGGGCGGCAACATGCTCGAAGCCTTCTCGGCGGTCGAACAGGACATTCCGGTGGTGGTCGTCGCGGCCTCGTTCCAGAAGGAACCGCAGGTGCTGATGACCCATCCGGACCAGGGCTTCGACAGTTTCGAGGACCTCAAGGAAGCGGACGAGTTCATCCTCGGCGATCAGGGCTTTCAGAGCTACTATCAATGGATGATAACCGAATTCGGGTTCGATGCGTCCAAGCGCGTGCCCTACACGTTCAATCCCGCTCCGTTCATCGCCAATCCGCGCTCCGTGCAGCAGGGCTACATCACATCGGAGCCGTTCGCCGTCGAGCGGGAAGGCGGGTTCGTGCCGAACCTGTTCCTGGTCGCCGATTTCGGCTTCGACACCTATTCGACGACGATCGAGGTGATGCAGGCGTCGATCGACGAGAAGCCCGAGGCGGTCAATTGCTTCGTCGAGGGCTCGATCCTGGGCTGGTACAACTACCTTTATGGCGACAACGCCGCCGCCAACGCGCTGATCCAGGCCGACAATCCCGACATGAGCGACGAGCAGATCGCCTTTTCGATCAACAAGCTGAAAGAGTATGGCATCGTCGATTCGGGCGACACCGAAACGATGGGCATCGGCGCGATGACCGACGAACGCATGCAGAGCTTCTACGAGAAGATGGTTTCGGCGGGCGTTGCGGCCGAAGGCATCGATATCTCGGCGGCCTATACGCTCGACTATGTCAATCAGGGGCTCGGGCTTGATCTCAAGCCCTGACCGGACGAGCACGCGGTGAGCGCGGCGCCATCAATCGAGGCCGAAACCGGCGACACGCAACTGGTGTTGCGCGGCGTCGGCAAGGCATTCGGCGATGTCGTCGCGCTGCGCGATGTCGACATGACCATCAACCAGGGCGATTTCCTGTCGCTTCTGGGGCCGTCGGGCTGCGGCAAGTCGACGGCCCTGAGGCTGATTGCCGGGCTTTCGGCGCCCAGCGCCGGCCGGCTCGAATGGTTCGGCCCGCCCATGGGCAAGACCGATGTCGGCTTTGTCTTTCAGGAGCCGACGCTGATGCCCTGGGCGACGGTTTACGACAATGTCTGGCTGCCGCTGCGCCTGCAGGGCGTGTCGCGCGATGCGGCGCGCGACCGGGTCGCGGCGGTGCTCGAACAGGTCAATCTGACGGGCTTTGAGGAGGCGGTGCCGCGCGAACTGTCGGGCGGCATGAAGATGCGCACCTCGATCGCCCGCGCGCTGGTGACGCGGCCGCGCGTCCTGTTGATGGACGAACCGTTCGCGGCGCTCGACGAGATCACCCGCAACCAGCTCAACAACGACCTTCTGGCATTGTGGGAAAAGGAGCGCTTCACGGTGATCTTCGTCACCCATTCGGTGTTCGAGAGCGTCTATCTGGCAAGCCGGATCGTGGTGATGGCGGCCAAGCCGGGACGGGTGTTCGACCAGATGGCGGTGGACGCGCCCTATCCGCGCGACGAGGCGTTCCGCACGTCCGAAGGCTATGCGCATGTGACGCGCAGCGCCTCGACCATGCTGCGCGCGGCGATGGGGCTCGATCCGGTGGAGGGTGGCCATGTCGACCATTGAGGCGCCCGCGCCGATGCAGGCCGATGCGCTGGCCGGCGCCGATGCGGAGGAGCTCGCCCGCCGCCGTCAAAGGCGGTTCGAGAAGATCGGCCGGTGGGCGCTGCCGCTGATGATCATGGTCACCGCGATCTGGCTGTGGGACCGGATCTGCGTGTGGAACGAAATCCCGCATTTCATCCTGCCGCGTCCGGGCGTCGTGCTGGAAACGCTGGTCGCCGATGCGGGGCTTTTGTTCTCCTCGCTCTGGGTGACGCTGAAGATCACCTTCCTGTCGCTCTTGCTGGCGGTGGCCGGCGGGGTCGGCCTGTCGGTGCTGTTCACCCAGTCGAAATGGGTGGAGATGAGCTTTTTTCCGTTCGCGGTGATCCTTCAGGTCACGCCGATCGTCGCCATCTTCCCGCTGATCAACATCTATGTGGAGAACCAGACGGCCAAGCTCCTGCTGTGCGCATGGATTGTCGCCTTCTTCCCGATCCTGTCGAACACGACGCTCGGGCTCAATTCCGTCGATCGCAACCTGCTCGATCTCTTCAAGCTGAACGGCGCGACGCGCTGGCAGACGCTTTGGCATCTGCGGCTGCCCGCCGCGATGCCCTATTTCCTGGGCGGGCTGAAGATCGCCGGCGGGCTGGCCCTGATCGGCGCGGTGGTCGCCGAATTCGTCGCGGGATCGGCCGGCCAGTCGTCCGGCCTCGCCAGCCGCATCATCGAGGCGGGCTACCGGCTCAACGCGCCGCGCCTGTTCGCCGCGCTGATCCTGATCTCGTTTACCGGCATCGTGATCTTCCTGGCGCTGAGCTGGCTGTCCAACCGCATCCTGCGGCGCTGGCACGAGAGCGCGCTGAGCCAGGAGCATTAGGTGGCCAAGGAACTGGTTACGCGAAATTTCGGCTTCTCGCTGAGCCGCGTGCGCCTGCACGCTTCGTGGCTTGCCGCGCCGTCGGCCAGCCACGACACGGACGGGTTCGGCCTTTACGATATCGAGGTCGTCGACGGCCGGATCGGCTCGATCGTGCCGGCGGCGGCAGATGTGCGCCGGGCCGAAAACGACATGGCCGGGCGGATCGTTTCGCCGTGCTTCACCGATTGCCACACCCATCTGGACAAGGGTCACATCTGGCTGCGCCGTCCCAATCCGGACGGCACGTTCATGGGCGCGCTTGAAAGCGTCGGCGAGGATCGCGTCGCCCACTGGTCGGCGGGCGATGTCGAAGCGCGTATGGAGTTCGGCCTCAGATGCGCTTACGCCCATGGCACGCGCGCGGTTCGGACGCACCTCGATTCGATTTCGCCGCAGGATGCGATTTCCTGGCCGGTGTTCGAGGCGATGCGGGAGCGCTGGGCCGGGCGGATCGAGCTGCAGGGCGCGTGCCTGCTGGGGATCGAGGGGGTCCGCGATGCGGACTGGTTCGCAACGCTCGCCAGCCGGGTGGCGGCTGCCGGCGGCATGCTGGGCGCGGTTGCCTATATGGTGCCCGATCTGGACGCGCTGCTCGACCGCATCTTCGCTGCCGCCATAGAGCATGGCCTCGACCTCGATTTTCACGCCGACGAGACCGGCGATGTGGATGCGCGCGCGCTGCGGCACATTGCCGATGCAGCAGCGCGGCACCGTTTTGACGGCAGGATCCTCATTGGCCATTGCTGTTCGCTGGCGCGCCAGCCGGACGCCGAGGTTCTGGCGACGCTCGACGCGGTGGCGGCGCAGACCATCTCGGTCGTCTCGCTGCCCATGTGCAATCTCTATCTGCAGGACCGCCGCACGGACGGCACGACGCCGCGCTGGCGCGGGGTCACGCTGCTGCACGAGATGGCCGCACGCGGCATCAATGTCGCCGTCGCCTCGGACAATACGCGCGATCCGTTCTACGCCTATGGCGATCTCGACATGCTCGAAGTCTACCGGATGGCGACGCGCATCTGCCATTTCGACCATCCGGTCGGCGACTGGCCGAAGACGGTTTTCGCCAACCCCGCCGCAGCGATGGGGCTCGACGCCGCCCATGGCCGGATCGCGGTGGGCGAGCCCGCCGACCTGATCCTCTATGAAGGGCGGTCATGGACCGAACTCCTGTCGCGGCCCGAGGCCAATCGCATGGTCATTCGCAATGGCGCGTTGATCGACCGCACCATTCCGGCCTACGACGAACTCGACCATCTGATGGAGTAGACCATGGGCAATCTGGATGCGCTGCGCGCTGCGATCGACGGGATCAGGATCGAGGACAATGAGAAGATCGTCCAGCAGAAGAGCCGGGACTTCTACTGGTATTCGCCCGTGCTCAAGGAGCGGCTCGACCATGTGACGGGCGATCTGATCGTCTCGCCGAAGGACGAGGACGAACTGATCCGCGTCCTGAAGGCCTGTTTTGCCCATGACGTGCCGGTGACGCCGCGCGGCACGGGCACCGGCAATTACGGCCAGGCCATGCCGCTGTCGGGCGGGGTGGTGCTCTCGCTCGCCGACATGAACGAAATCAAGGAGATCGCGCCGGGCCGGGTGGTGTGCGGGCCGGGCGTCATCTGCGCCGACCTCGACAAGGCGGCAAAAGCCGAATCCAATCAGGAGCTTCGGATGCACCCTTCAACCGCCCATACGGCGACCATTGGCGGCTTCATTGCCGGCGGGTCGGGCGGGGTTGGTTCGATCCGCTGGGGTGGGTTGCGCGACTGGGGCAATGTCATCCGGCTGCGTGTCGTGACGATGGAAGCCGAGCCGCGCGTGCTCGAACTGACAGGCGCGGATCTGCACAAGGTTACCCATGCCTACGGCACCAACGGCATCATCACCGAAGTCGAGATGCCGTTGACCACGGCCTATGATTGGGCCGACGTGATCGTCGCATTCGACGATTTCATGGAGGCGGCGCGGTTCGCCAACGAACTCGGGCGCCAGGACGGGATCCTGCTCAAACTCAACGCAGTGGTCGCCGCGCCCGCGCCGTACGACTATTTCAAGCGGCACCGGAAGTTTCTGAAGCAAGGCGAGAACACCGTGCTCGTCATGGTGGCGCCGCAGTCGCTGGATGCGTTTCTGGCCTTTGCCGGCGATCATGGCGGACGCATCGCCTTCAACCGGCCAGAGACGAGCGCCGACGATCTGAAGGGCCTGCCGCCGGCCTATGAACTGGCGTGGAACCACACCACGCTGCGCGGACTTCGAGTCGATCCGGCGATCACCTATCTGCAGGTGCTCTATCCGTTCCCCAACCAGCTTGCGCTGATCGAGGAGTTGCACACCCGGTTCGAAGGCGAGGTGATCGACCATCTCGAATTCGTGCGGTTCGATGGCGACGTGACCTGCTTTGGCCTGCCCATGGTGCGCTATTCGACCGAAGAACGGCTCGAGGAGATCATGGACATCTTCAACGCCACCGGCGCGCCGATCTTCAACCCGCACCGCTACACGCTCGAAGAGGGCGGCATGAAGCAGACCGATGCGGTGCAGCTTGCCTTCAAGCGCGAGGCTGACCCCAAGGGCCTGCTCAATCCGGGCAAGATGATCGCCTGGGACGATCCGGATTATGATTTCGATTCAGGCGGTGTCTGGCTGTTCAAGGGATTGCAGAAGGCCGGATGAATGCGCGTCCTCGTGCTGCATGCGCATCCGGTCTCCGAGAGCTTCAACGGCGCGCTGCACAGGCTGGCCGTCGAGCGGCTTGAGGCGGCGGGCCATGAGGTGGACGATTGCGACCTTTATGCCGAGGATTTCGATCCGCGGCTGACGCGTGAAGAGCGGCTTGGCTATCACGACATCGGGGCCAACACCGCGCCGGTGCAGAACTATGTCGACCGGCTGCGCGCCGCCGACGCATTGGTGCTGTGCTATCCGGTCTGGAATTTCGGTTACCCGGCGATGCTCAAAGGCTATTTCGACCGCGTGTTCCTGCCGGGCGTCTCGTTCACGATCGTCGACGGGCAGGTGCGTCCCTGCCTGCACAATATCGGCAAGGTGGCGGTGATCACCACCTATGGCGGTTCGCGCACCCGTGCCATCCTGATGGGCGATCCGCCGCGCAAGCTGGCCAACCGGGTGCTGCGCGTCATCGTCAAACCGGGCGCGCCCTTCTCCTATCTTGCCCATTACGACATGAACCGCTCGACCGATGGCTCGCGCCGGCGGTTCATGGACCGGGTCGGCCAGGCAATGGACCGGTTCTGATGCGCGTTCTGGTCATCTACAGCCACCCGGTGCCGGAAAGCTTTTGCGCCGCGCTGCGCGACACGGTGATGGCGGCCCTCGGTGAGGCGGGTCACGAAACGCGGCTGCTCGATCTTTACGCGATCGGGTTCGATCCGGTGATGGCGTGCGACGAGCGGCGGACCTACAATGATGACGGCAATCCGCATCCGCTGCCCGACCATGCCGAACACCTCAAATGGGCCGATGCGATGGTGTTCGTCTATCCGACCTGGTGGTACGGGTTGCCGGCGATGCTCAAGGGCTGGCTGGACCGGGTCTGGACGCCGGAGATCACCTTTGACATCGCAAAGGATACAGGCCGGATCAGCCCGAAAATGACGCACATCCGAAAACTCGGCATCGTGACGACGTGCGGCGCGCCCAAATGGTGGTCGCACATGGTCGGCCATCCGGGCAGACGCACACTGAGCCGAGGCATGCGGGCGCTGTTTCACAAGCGCTGCAAGACCGTCTTCATGGCGCACTATCTGATGGATGTGTCGACGCCCCAAAGCCGCGCGGCGTTTCTGGCGCGTGTGCGCGACAAGATGCTGGCCTTTTAGGCGGCTCGGCGGCGCCCTTGAATTGTGACCGGCTTCGTCGCACATCTGCGGCCAGATGTTTCGCCCGCAGGGCAGGAAGGCTTTCCCCATGGACATGGCAACCGACAAGACGCCCGTCACCGTGCTGACCGGCTATCTGGGCGCCGGCAAGACGACGCTTCTGAACCGCATCCTGACCGAGGATCACGGCAAGAAATACGCCGTCATCGTCAACGAGTTCGGCGAGGTGGGCATCGACAACGATCTGGTCGTCGATGCCGACGAAGAAATCTTCGAGATGAACAATGGCTGCATCTGCTGCACCGTGCGCGGCGATCTGATCCGCATCCTGTCCGGGCTGATGAAACGGGCGGGGCAGTTCGACGGCATTCTGTTGGAGACGACCGGACTGGCCGATCCGGCGCCGGTGGCGCAGACATTTTTCGTCGACGAGGACATTTCGGCCCGCACACGGCTCGATGCGATCGTCACCGTCGCCGACGCGATGCACCTGACGGGCGAGTTGGACCGGGCGCCCGAGGCGCAGGAGCAGATCGCTTTTGGCGACATTGTGCTGCTCAACAAGACCGATCTCGTCACCGAGGACGATCTCGTCGGCGTCGAAGCACGCATCCGCCGCATCAATCCGACCGCGCAGATCGTGCGCACGATGCGCGCCGACGTGCCGCTGGAGACGATTTTGGGCCGGCATGCCTTCGATCTGGAGCGCATCCTCGAGAACGTGCCGGATTTCCTCGGACATGACGATCACGGGCGTGACCATGGCCACGATCATCATCACGATCACCACCATGAGGATGCGAACCGGCACGACGCGCATGTCGGTTCGTTCTCGCTGGTCACCGAGGCGCCGCTCGACCCCGAAAAGTTCTTCCCCTGGGTGCAGATGATCAGCCAGGAATTCGGCATCGATCTGTTGCGCATGAAGGGCATCCTCGCCTTCAAGGACGACCCCAAGCGCTATGTGGCGCAGGCCGTGCACATGATGCTGGAAGGCGACCACAGTCGCGAATGGCGCGACGACGAGCCACGCGTCAGCCGCATGGTGTTCATCGGCCGCAATTTGCCGCGCGACATCATCGAGGACGGCTTCATGAAGTGCCGGGCGGCGCAACCCGTTCCGGCATGAGCATGACGCTGAAGACACTGGAGGCGGGCGCGCCGCTGACGGGCGGCGGGTTTGCCGGCAGGGCCTATGCTGTCGCCGATGGCGACGGCCATGTGCATGTGTGCGGCTTCGACGGTTCGGTTGCCGCGCGCAAGCTGCATGAGGGCGCGATTCTTGCCGTCGCGACCGACGAGAAATCGGGCGCCATCATCACGGCGGGCGATGACGGCAAGGCAATCCGCATCCGGCCCGATGGCGAGCCCGAAACGCTGCATGACGGGCGCAAATGGGTCGACACGGTGGCCGCTTCGCCGCGCGGGCATGTCGCCTGGTCGGCCGGCAAGACGATCTATCTGCTGCCCAAGGGAGCGGATAACCCCGTCGAGGCGAGCGCTGCGTCCTCGATCAGTGCGCTTTCCTTTTCGCCCGACGGCAAATGGCTGGGCGCGGCGGTCTATGGCGGTGCGTTCCTCATCCGCCTGTCGAAGCCGTCCGAGACCGCGATGCTTTCTTGGCAGGGCGCACACAATGCGATCGGCTTTTCGCCGGACGGGCGCTTTTGCGTGACGTCCATGCTCGAGAATGCGCTGCATGTCTGGCGGATCGACAAGCCCGAGGAAAAGCACGGCAAGATGGGCGGCTATCCGGCCAAACCGGTCTCTTACGACTGGACCGCCGACGGGCGCTATCTGGCGACGGCGGGTGCCGAGGTGCTGGTGCTGTGGCCGTTCTTCGGCGCCGACGGTCCGATCGGCCAGCAGGCGGGCGTTTTTTCGCGCGAGCAGGATCTGCTGTCGCGAACCGTGGCGGCACGGCCCAATTCACAGCAGATCGCCATCGGCTATGTGGACGGTTCGGTCGCGCTGTTCGACCGCAAGACGCAGCAGTTCATGGACATCGCCACCGAACATGCGGCCGGTGCGGTGAACGCGCTGAGCTTTTCGGCAGACGGGCGCTGGCTCGGCTTCACGCGCGAGCGCGGCGTGGCGGGCCTGGCCGATCTGGGCAAGGGGTAATCCGCCAGACCGCAAGCCCTCATCCTGGGGTGCGAGCCAATCGTCCCCCGTCCTTCGAGGCTCGCTGCGCTCGCGCCTCAGGATGAGGGGACGGTTGGCAAGCCTCGAAGGAGCGGCTTGCGACCAACATTCAAATCCGTCCTTCTTCCACCGCAAAGCACTTGGCTTCGCCGGTCGGCGTGGGCACCGGCACCGGAATCTCGCTGCGGCAGCGATCGGCGACATATTGGCAGCGCGGGTGAAAGGTGCAGCCCGGCGGCGGGCTGATCGGGTTCGGAATCTCGCCCTTGACGACGGTGTGCTCCTTGCCGGTCATGTCGAGATCAGGCACAGCCTCGAGCAGCATGCGCGTATAGGGATGGCGCGGCGCGTTGAACAGTTCCTTGCCGTCTGCGGTTTCGACCAGCGCACCGAGATAAAGAACGCCGATCCGGTTGGCCATGTGGCGCACCACCGACAGATCATGGCTGATGAACAGATATGTAAGGCCCAACTCGTCCTGAAGGTCGCGCATCAGGTTGAGGATCTGCGCCTGCACCGACACGTCGAGCGCCGAAGTGGGCTCGTCGCAGACGATGAATTCGGGGTTCGACGACAGCGCGCGCGCGATGGCGATGCGCTGGCGCTGGCCCCCCGAGAATTCGTGCGGAAACTTGCCGGCATCGGACGCGCCAAGCCCGACCAGATCGAGCAGTTCGTCGACACGCTTGTCGATGGCGGCCTTGCCGTCGACGGTGCCGAACGCCTTCATCGGCTCGGCGATCACGTCGCGCACGCGCCAGCGCGGGTTGAGGCTGGCAAACGGGCTCTGGAAGATCATCTGGAAGCGCGAGCGCAGTTGCGTCATCGCCGCGCTCGAATTGACGTCCATGGGCGTGCCATCGAAGTGTATTTCGCCGTCGGACGCCTTGAGCAGACCGACGACCATCTTGGCGATGGTCGATTTTCCCGAGCCGCTTTCGCCGACGAGTGCGAAAGTCTCGCCGCGCCGGATCTCGAAGCTCACATCGTCGACGGCGCGCAGGAACTGGCGCTCCTGTCGCTCGATGATGCGGTTGAGCCAGGGCAGGGACACATCGAAGGTGCGGGTGAGGTTCTTTACCTCAAGGAGGACATCGCTCATTCGGCGGCCTTGATCTGTTGTTCGTCGTAGAGCCAGCAGGCGACCTGCCGCGTGCCGTGCGGGATCGGTTCGGGGCGCTCGATGCGGCAGCGGTCGAAGACGCGGTCGCAGCGCGGGTTGAAGGCGCAGCCCTGCGGGATATCGGTCAGGCGCGGCATCGAGCCGGGGATCTGCACCAGCCGGTCGTCCTCCTGCGCCAGCGTCGGGATCGAGCCCATCAGCCCGTGCGTGTAGGGATGCAGCGCGTCCTTGATCACGTCGCGCACCGGGCCGATCTCGGCGAGCCGGCCGGCATAGAGCACGGCCACGCGGTCGGCCGTCTCGGCGATGACGCCCATGTCATGGGTGATCAGCATGACCGAGGCGCCGCGCTCCGAGCACAGGCGCTTGAGCACGTCGATGATCTGCGCCTGCACCGACACGTCGAGCGCGGTGGTCGGCTCGTCCGCGATGACGAGATCGGGTTCGGCGGCAAGGGCGAGAGCGATCACCACGCGCTGGCGCATGCCGCCCGAAAACTGGTGCGGATAGTCGTCGATGCGGCGGCTGGCGGCGGGAATGCCGACATCGTCGAGAAGTGCTATCGACCGCTCGCGTGCCTCCCTGGCCGAAACGGCCATATGGGTCTGGATCGTCTCGACGAGCTGCTCGGCGATGGTGAAGAGCGGGTTGAGCGAAGTCAGCGGGTCCTGGAAGACCATGGCGATGCGTCGGCCGCGGATGGCGCGCATATCGTCCATCGACAGATTGTCGATGCGCTCGCCGTCGAGATGGATCTGGCCGCCGGCGATGCGTCCCGGCGGCTCGATCAGGCCGATGATGGCGGCGCCCGTCATCGACTTGCCGGCGCCCGATTCGCCGACGACGCCGAGCACCTCGCCGCGCTTGATATCAAACGAGATGCCGTCGAGCGCGGTCAGGATGCCGCCGCGGGTGGGAAACTGCACGACCAGATCGCGCACGGAAAGAAGCACGTCATCCATGGCGGTCACCTCAGCTTCGGGTTGAGCGCGTCGCGCAGCCAGTCGCCCAGAAGGTTGACCGACAAAGCGAGGGCGAGAAGCGTCATGGCGGGGAAGAACAGGATCCACCATTCGCCCGAGAACAGGAATTCCTGACCGATGCGGATCAGCGTGCCGAGCGAGGGCTGGGTGGGCGGCGCGCCGACGCCCAGAAACGACAGGGTCGCTTCGGCAATGATCGCCAGCGCCAGCGAGATGGTGGCGATGACGAGGACAGGCGACAGCGTGTTGGGCAAAATGTGGCGCACCATGATGGCGACCGGCGAACGGCCGATCAGCCGGGCGGCCTGCACATACTCCTTGCTCTTTTCGACCAGCGTCGCGCCGCGCACGACGCGGGCGAACTGCACCCATTCGGACAGGCCGATGGCGATGATCAGCACCCAGATCGCCACCTCGTCGCGCCGGTCGGGCGGGGTGATCCCCTTGGCGACCCCGAAGATCAAAAGCGCGACCAGAATGGCGGGGAAGGTGAGCTGGATGTCGGCAATGCGCATGATGATCGTGTCGGTGCGCCCGCCGACATAGCCCGAGAGCAGGCCGAGCGTGACGCCCAGGACCATCGCGAAGATCACCGCCGAAAAGCCAACGAACAGCGAAATCCGCATGCCATAAAGGATGGTCGCGAACACGTCGCGGCCCTGGTCGTCGGTGCCCAGAACGAAGGTCTCGCCGGTGAACTGGTTGGGCTGCATCGGCTCGGAGAAGCCGTTCATCAGGTTGAGCGAACCGGGATCGAACGGGTTCTGCGAGGTGATCAGCGGCGCAAAGACCGAACTGCCGATCAAAAGGACGACGACGAGCGCGGCCACCATCGCAACGGGCGAGCGGCGGAACCGGTAGGCCAGATCGGAGTCGAGGGCGCGGGCAATCGCTTCCATGTCAGTGCCCTCCACCGCGCGATGCCGACAGGCGCGGATCGATCGCAAAGTACAGGAGATCAACGATCAGATTGATGACGACGAACATCACCGAGATCAGCATCAGGTACGAGGCCATGACCGGGATATCGACGAACTGGATCGAGTTGATGAACAAAAGCCCGACGCCGGGCCACTGGAACACCGTCTCGGTGATGATCGCGAAGGCGATGATCGAGCCGAGCTGCAGGCCGGTGATCGTGATGACCGGCACCAGCGTGTTCTTCAGCGCGTGGCGGAAATAGACCGAACGCTGGGAGAGGCCGCGCGCGCGGGCGAACTTGACATAGTCCGAGCGCAGCACTTCGAGCATCTCGGCGCGCACCAGCCGCATGATCAGCGTCATCTGGTAGAGGCCGAGCGTGATCGCCGGCAGGATGATGGCCTTGAGGCCGGACTCGGTCAGAAGCCCCGTGGTCCACCAGCCGATCTGCACCGTCTCGCCGCGGCCGAAACTGGGCAGCCAGCCCAGTTCGACCGCAAACACATAGATCAGCAATATGCCTATGAGGAAGGTTGGCAGCGAGACCCCGATCAGCGATGACGTCATGATGAAGTTGGACAGCCAGCCATCGCGCCGGATCGCCGTATAGACCCCAAGCGTGATGCCCAGAACGATGGCAAACAGCGCCGAGACCGCGGCCAGTTCCAGCGTGGCGGGCGCGCGTTCGGCCAGAATGTCGGCGACGGGCCGGCCCTGGCGGAACGAGACGCCGAAATTGCCCTGCGTTACGCCCTGCAGGAAGCGGAAATACTGGACCGGAAAGGGCTGGTCGAGCCCCAGTTCCGAGCGGACCCGGTCAATGTCCTCGATGGTGCGTTCCTGGCCGAGCAGATTGTCGACCGGATCGCCGACGAAGCGGAACAGCGAGAAGGCGACGAGCCCGACAACCAGCAGCACGACCACCGATTGCAGGACACGTCTGATGATGAATGCGAGCATTCAGGTGCTTTCTATTCGTTGACTGTCACCCAGCGCAGGATGAAGAAATTGTCGGGCCTCTGGGTCAGTTCGATGCCGTCGCGCACGCCCCAGATCAGCGGCTGGACGTAGAGCGGCACATAGGCCTGTTCGTCCTGCAGGATCCCGGCCACCTCATCGAGCATGGTCTGCCGCGCGGCATCGTCGATCTCCGATTGAATCATCGGCAGCAATTCGTCAACGCGCGCGTTGGAAAAGTCCCCGAAATTCCAGCTGCCGAGGCGTTTTTCCTCGTTGGGCGTGGCGGCAAGGAAGCGGATCGGGTGTTCGGCGTCGAACGTGCCCGGCGACCAGCCGAGCAGGTACATGTCGAAATTGTCTTCGCGCAGTTCGGGCCAGTAGGTGCGCACCGGCATGGCGTCGAGTTCGGCGCGCAGGCCGATCTGCGCCAGCATCGAGACGGCGGCCTGACACACCGATTCATCGTTCAGATAACGGTCGTTGGGGCATTTGAGACCGAACGAGAAACCGTCCGGATGTCCGGCTTCGGCCAGCAGCGCCCGGGCCGCATCGGGATCGTAGGCCGGCCGTTCGGCGAGCGCCGGCGTATAGCCGCGCATGGCCGGGCTGACCAGTTGCGAGGCCGGCTCGGCGGCACCGCGCATGATGGTCTGCAGGATCGCATCGACATTGATCGCGTGGGCGACGGCCTTGCGCACGCGGGCGTCGCGAAACGGGTTGGGTTCGCCGGCATCGTCCGAATATTTGATCGTTTCGGCCTGGTGGGCGAAGCCGAACATGATCACGCGCGCCTCGATGCCGGTGATCACGCCAACCCCGTCGCGCTCGGCGACGCGGCCGGCATCCTGCACGGGAACCGGATTTATCATGTCCACTTCGCCCGACAGGAGCGCGGCAACGGCGGTCGCGGAGTTCTGCACCGGGGTGAATTCGGCGCGGGTGATGTTGTGTTCGACCTCGCCCCACCAGCCCTCGAACGGTTCGAGCACGGTCGTCAGGCCCGGCTGGCGCTCGGCAAGGCGGAAGGCGGCGGTGCCGTTGGCGTTGAGCGTTGCGAAGTTCTCGGCGTCCTTGGCGGGCAGTTCGACGCCGTTGGCCTCGGCCCAGCCCTTGTCCATGATCATGAAGTTGGCGATCGAATCCGGGAAGATCGGATTGGGCGCAATGGTCAGAAAGTCGATGGTGAAATCGTCGACGACCGTGACGTCGGAGACGGGCGCGAACCACGATGCGGTGTCGGCGGCTTCCGAGGAGGCGCGCTCGTAGGAGAACAGGACGTCGTCGGCGGTGAAGGCCGCGCCATCGTGGAAGGTGACGCCGCGGCGCAAGTTGAAGCGCCAGCCATTGCCGCCGAGCGGCTCCCAGCTTTCGGCCAGCGCCGGCTCCACGCTCATGTCCTTGCCGCGCCGGACAAGGCCCTCATAGACATTGTTGAGAAAACCCAGGACCGGCGCCGAGTTGACGGCATGCGGGTCCATGGTCTGCGGGTCGGTCTGTGCCGCCCATTTGAACGTTTCGGCATGGGCCGTTCCGGCGCCGAGCGCCAACGCGGCCGCGACCAGAATGGTGTGCTTGTTCATGACGTCTCCCCTGTGTGGCGGGGCGGTGACGATGCCCGCCGGGCGGGCAGGGTAGGTCGGGGGCGCGATGCCCCCAACCCCTGTCGCGTCAAAGCGCGGTCACGCTTAGTTGAACTGAAGGAACTTGAAGTGCGGCTGGTCTTCAGGCTGCACCGCAAAGTCGATGTTTTCCTTCATGCCCCAGTTCAGCACCTGGTTGTGGATCGGCAGGTAGATGACCTCGTCCTGAACCTTCTGCCAGATGTCCGCGATGGTCTGGTTGCGGACCTCCAGATCGACCTCCGAGCCGAGCGACTGGATCATCGCGTCCACTTCGGGATCGGAAAAGCGCGAACCGTTCCACGAACCGCGATCTTCGGTGGTCGAATGGACCAGGAAGTTGAATACATATTCCGAATCGAATGTCGGAACGCCCCAGCCAAGCAGGTAGAAGTCGGTCTGCTTGCCCGAGATCAGCGGGAAGTGGTTCGCCTTGGTCTGGGCGACCAGGTTCACCGTGATGCCGATCTGGCCCATCATGCCGACGACCGCCTGGCAGATTGCCTCGTCGTTGATGTAGCGGTCGTTCGGGCAGTGCAGGGTGACCTCGAAGCCGTCCTCATAGCCGGCCTCCGCCATCAGCGCCTTGGCGCCTTCGACATCTGCCGCCGGATACCGGTCGAGTTCCTCGTTCCAACCATTGACGAAGGGCGGAATGATCACCCCGGTCGGCGCCGACTGGCCGCGCATGACGACCTGCTGGATCGCCTCGCGGTTGATCGCCATGTTCATGGCCTGCCGGACACGGACGTCGGCAAACGGGTTGGCGCCTTCGACGGTGTCGTTCTCGAGATCGTCATCGCCGGAGTTGATGCCGAAGAAGATCGTCCGGTTCTGCGGCGCGTTTTCGACCTTCAGCCCATCGGTGTCGGCGACACGCTGCAGATCCTGAACCGGTACGTCCTGGATCAGGTCGACTTCACCCGACAGGAGCGCGGCGACGCGGGTCGCAGCGTTCTGGATCGGCGTGTAGATGATCTCGGTGATTTCCATCGGGAACTCGTCGATGCCCCAATAGTCGTCGTTGCGGGCCAGCACGGTCTTGGTGTCGGGCTCGCGGCTGACAAGTTTGAAGGCGCCGGTTCCGTTGGCGTTGCGCACGGCGTAGGTCTCTTCGCCGTCATCGAACTCGGCCGGCTCGGTCACGTTGTTTTCCTCGGCCCAGCCCTTGTCCATGATGAACAGGTTGGTGAGGTTGTTGGGCAGGATCGGGTTGGGGCCTTCGGTCTCCATCTCGACCGTGTAGTCATCGACCGCACGAACTTCCGTGATGGTGACCAGCAGCTCCTTCATGTCCGAGCTTTCCAGCTTGGCCCGGTTGAACGAGAAGACGACATCTTCGGCGGTGAAGTCCTGGCCCTCGTGGAAGGTGACGCCCTCACGCAGCTTGAAGACCCACACGTTGGGGTTGCCTTCCTTGACCGACCATTCGGTGGCCAGCGCGGGGATCGGCTTGGCTTCCATGTCCGGCGAGATCAGCGGTTCGTAGATCTGCTGGGCAAGAGCATGGGTCGGGCCTTCGTTTTGCGAATGAGGATCGAGCGTCAGCGAATCGCCGGCGCGCGCCCAGCGCAGCGTTTCGGCGCTGGCCATGACGCTGGTGCCCGCAAGCAGTGCAGCCGTCAGCGCCGCGCCGATCATCTTGGTTTTGATATGCATGAATTTCTCCCGATTAGCGTGTCCGCAAAACGCGCGGACATGAGCCCAAAGTCTAGACAGAGCGCGTGATGCAAATCCAGCGAAAAATCAAACCGTTTTGACCTTTCGGTCAAAAATCAGCCGCCCGGTCAAACGCCCGGGCGGCCGCGAGATGGACGGTTCTGTCGGCCTGCGCGGGTCAGTCGAGCGCGGTCAGGACCTTGGTCATCCGGTCGACGATCTGGTCGACATGTTCCTTCTCGATGATCAGCGGCGGCGAGAAGGCGATGATGTCGCCTGTCGTGCGGATCAGAAGGTCATGATTGTGATAGGCGTCGAGGAAGGCCGAGAAGGCGCGCTTGGTCGGCGCGCCGGCGATCGGTTCGAGTTCGACCGCGCCGATCAGGCCCAGATTGCGGGTGTCGATGACATGCGGCAGGCCCTTGAGCGAGTGGATCGCGTCGGCCCAATAGTCCGCCATCTCCGCGCCGCGGCTCAGAAGGCCCTCTTCGGCATAGGTGTCCAGCGTGCCGAGCGCCGCCGCGCAGGCGAGCGGATGGGCCGAATAGGTGTAGCCGTGGAAGAACTCGATCATGTGGTCGGGGCCGGACATGAAGGCGTCGTGGATGTGGTTGGCCGCGAAGACCGCGCCCATCGGCACGGTGCCGTTGGTCAGGCCCTTGGCGGTCGTCATCAGGTCCGGTTTGACGCCAAAATAGTCGGCGCCGAAATTCGTGCCCAGGCGCCCGTAGCCGGTGATCACCTCGTCGAAGATCAGAAGGATGCCGTGCTCGTCGCAAATCTCGCGCAGGCGCTTGAGATAACCCTTCGGCGGCAGCAGCACACCGGCCGAGCCGGCGACGGGTTCGACGATGACAGCGGCGATCGTCGACGGATCGTGAAGCTGGGCGATGCGCAGAAGATCGTCGGCCAGTTCGACGCCGTGTTCGGGTTCGCCGCGGGCGAAGGCGTTGCGCGACAGGTCATGGGTGTGGCGCATGTGATCGACGCCGGTCAGCAGCGTGCCGAACATCTTGCGGTTGGCGACGATGCCGCCGACCGAGATGCCGCCGAAATTGACGCCGTGATAGCCGCGCTCGCGGCCGATCAGGCGGAAACGGCCGCCATCGCCCTTCGCCCGGTGATAGGCGAGCGCCATCTTCAGAGCCGTTTCGACCGATTCCGAACCGGAATTGGTGAAGAAGACGTGGTCGAGACCGTCCGGCGACAGGTCGGCAAGGCGCGTCGCCAGTTCGAACGCGCGCGGGTGCGCCATCTGAAAGGAGGGGGCATAGTCGAGCGTCGCGGCCTGGGTCTGGATCGCCTCGACGATCTTCGGCCGGTTGTGGCCCGCATTGACGCACCACAGGCCGGCAATGCCGTCGAGCACCTGCCGGCCGTCATCGGTGACATAATGCATGCCGTCCGCGCCGGTGATCATGCGCGGGGCGCGCTTGAACTGCCGGTTTGCCGTGAACGGCATCCAGTAGGCGGAGAGGTCGTTGGGGCGCGAAACGGGTTTGTCGAGCATGGCCGGCACTCCTGCAAAGAGGTAAGGCGGCGCTGACGAACGCCGCCTGATCCATGCCCGGGACGCTATGCCTGCGCCCGTGCGCGGTCAACCCGCAATTGCCGGCTGACCTAGTCCTCGTCGTCCTCGAGGATGCGCGCCGCCGCGCCGTCCAGATCCTCGTACTGGCCCGAATTCAGGCTCCAGATGAAGGCGCCTAGGCCCAGAAGTCCGAGAAAAAGCGCGATGGGTATGAGAACGGTCAAAAGCGTCATTATTCGGCAGCTTCCATGGAACCGGTGCCGACCGCAAGTGCGGACCGCGCCGGGCGGTTGGCCGCCGGCGCCGGATCGCCGCGCGTCAGGCGCATCGAGTTGAGCACGACGACGATCGAGGAGGCGGACATGGCAATCGCCGCGACCAGCGGCGTGACCATGCCGGCCATGGCGATCGGCACGGCGATCACGTTGTAGGCGAAGGCGAGCCCGAAATTCTGCTTGACCAGAGCCTGGGCGCGCAGCGCGATGCCGCGCGCGGCGGTGACCGCTTCGAGGCTGTCGCGGGTGAAGACGAAGTCGGCCGCGGTGCGCCCGACATCGGAGCCCGAGGCCGGTGCCATCGAGACATGGCCGGCGGCGAGCGCCGGCGCGTCATTGATTCCGTCGCCGACGAAAAGGACCTTCCGGCCTTCGGCGCGCAGCGCCTCGATGCGGGCGATCTTGTCGGCGGGCGTCTGGTCGGCATGCCATTCGGTCACGTCCAGCCGGTCGGCGAGGCGGGCGACCTGCGCGGCGGCATCGCCGGAGACGATCCGCGTGCCGATCCCCGCATTGTGAAGGGCTTCTATGGCGGCGGCCGCGCCGTCACGGACATGTTCGCCCAGTTCGACTGCCAGAAGCGGTCCGCCCTCGACGGCAAAGGCCAGACCGCCTGATCTATCGCTGTCGGACATGTCTTCGGCGATCTCGGCGACCCACGCCCTGCGGCCAAGCCGCGCCCGCCCGCCGGAAAAGGCTCCCTCGACGCCAAGGCCGGGATGCTCGGCAATATCGGTGCCGCGCGCCGTGGCGCCGGCGTCCAGATGGGTCAGCAGCGCGCGTGACGCGGGATGGCCGGAGGAGGCGGCGAGCGCGCGCGCAATCGCGATGTCGGACGGGCGTTCGATGGCACAGCCGATGACCGTCGGCGTGCCGGTTGTCAGTGTGCCGGTCTTGTCGAACACCGCTTCGTCGGCTTCGGCCAGCCGTTCAAGCGCTGCGCCGTCCTTCATAAGGATGCCGTTCTCGAAAAGCCGTGTCGCGCCGATGACGTGGACGACGGGCACGGCCAGGCCCAGCGCGCAGGGGCAGGTGATGATCAGAAGCGCGATGGCGATATAGAGCGATGTGTGCCAGTCGCCGCCGGTGATGACCATCCAGGCGACAAAGGCAATGGCGGCCAGCGAGTGGACGAAGGGCGCGTAAAGCCGTGCGGCCCGGTCGGCGGCGCGGACATAGGCGCCGCGTCCGTTCTCGGCCGCTTCCATCATCGCCCGCACCTCGGCAAGGAACGATTTGTCGGCGGTGTTTGTGACTTCGATATCAAGGACGCCGGTCAGGTTCATGGCGCCCGCTTCGAGCGCGGTTCCAGCTTCGGCGGTGACCGGCAGGCTCTCGCCGGTGACCAGCGAGCGGTCGACGTCCGAAAGACCGTTCTCGACCGTGCCGTCGACCGGCAGGCGCTCGCCGGCAAAAACGCGCACCGTCATGCCCGGCTCGATCTCGTCGAGCGGCAGATAGCGCATCTCACCATCGCCCGTGAGCACGTTGGCGCCCTTGGCCGAAAGACGGCTGAGCTGGACGACGGCGGTGCGCACGCGCTCGCGCATACGCTGGTCGAGATAGCGGCCGATCAGGAGGAAGAAGAGCAGCATGGTCGCTGCTTCGAAGTAGGTCTTGTCGCCGCCGGTCAGCGCCTCGAACAGGCTCATGCCGGTGGCCAGCGAAATCGCCAGCGAGATCGGCACGTCCATGTTGACGCGGCCGTTCCTGAGCGCGCCCCAGGCCGAACGGAAGAAGACCCGGCCGGCGTAGAAGACGGCGGGAATGGCGATCAGCGCCGAGATCAGGTGGAACAGGTCGCGTGTCGCGCCCTCGGCGCCCGACCAGACCGACACCGACAGAAGCATGATGTTGGCCGAGGCGAACCCGGCGACGGCCAGCGATTTGAGCAGTTCGGAATCGCGGCGCTTGCGCTCGAGTTCGTCGAGATCGCCCAGATCGACCGGCCGGGCGGGAAAGCCGAGCGCGGCAAGAGCGCCGGCCACCTCGATGGGCCCGGTTACGGCCGGATCGAGATGAACCGTGACCCGGCGCAGCGAGAGATTGACCCGCACATAGGCGACGCCATGCATCGGCCGGATGGCGCGTTCGATCGAGGAGATGCAGGCGCCGCAGTGGATGTCGGGTGCCGAAAAGACATACTCGACCGTGCCGTCGTTGCGCTCGCGCCCGGCGTGGAGCAGTTCCTCGGCGCGCGAGAAATCGGCCGATGCGCTGACGCCCACCGCACCGTCGGCGGCGATGTTGCCACCGCAGCAGGTCATTGAACGGTGAAGCGCAGCGTGCGCGTCCAGACATCGCCGCCGGCGCCGGTCACGGTCACGTCGGCGTTCCAGACCCCGCTGGCCAGATCGGTCGATCCCGCGTAGACGCCCGCCTCGCCCTCGGCGAACTGCACCGTGTGGTCCTGTGCCTCAAAGGAGGGCCGGCCAAGCCTGGCGGTGATGATCGCATCCTCGATCGGCTCTTGGGCGGCATCGTGCATGATCAGCGTCAGGACGCCCTCGCTGTATTCGGGCACCGCCTTCCAGCCCATCGCCAGTTGCCGGCGCTTTTCTGCGGTCACCTCGTTGAAGTGCTGGCTGGCGACATAGGAGTTCTTGACCACCAGCCCGGTCCAGCTGTTGGTGGCGTTCCATGCCATGAACAGGTTGACCGAGATGATGACGCCGAAGAAGGCGAGTATGATGGCCAGAAAATGCCAGCCGGTGAACGGGTTGGGTGCGAAGATGCGTTGCAGCATGGCGATCACTCCGGCGCTTCGAAATTGGCGTTGTAGATGTCGGTCTCGCCGGCTTCGCCTTCCTCGACGATGAAGGAGAAGGGTGTCGAACCGGGTGCGACCATGTCGCGCGGCTGGGAAACGAACACGCGCAGCGGACGCAGCTTGTCGGGCTCGACCGGGATGTCGAAGCTCGTGCCGGGTTCGGCGTCAATGCCGTTGATGGCCATGACAGCGCCGGGCAGGCCGTCGAGCGTCAGCGTGATGGTGCGCGGTTCGGCGACCATGTTGAGGATCTTGACCGTGTAACCGTTGCGGATCGAACCGTCCGACAGGGTGGTGAAGACCGGGTTGCGGTCGTGCAGGACGTTGACTTCGAGCCGGTCGCGGGTGCCGAGCGCGATGAGAAGCGCGATGCCAATCGCAGCCCACGCGGCGGTGTAGATGATCGTGCGCAGGCGCAGCATCTCGCGCCATTTGAAGCCGCGGATCGCATCGACGAAATTGCCGTTCTGGTCGCGGACGTTGGACGGATCGATGGCGCCGGAGTTCTCGCCGCCCATGGCGACCCGCATGTTATGATTGTAGTCGGCGAGCGTGGCGTAGGAGATCAGGCCGCGCTCATGGCCGACCTTGTCCATCACCGCGTCGCAGGCGTCGATGCACAGCGCGCAGGTGATGCATTCGAGCTGCTGGCCGTCGCGAATGTCGATGCCTGTGGGGCAGACGGCGACGCAGGCGTTGCAGTCGACGCAATCGCCGGGCAACAGCCCTTGCGCCTTTGCCTTCTTCTGGCCGCGCATGCGCGGCTCGCCGCGCCAGTCATTGTAGGTGACGACCAGCGAGTTCTCGTCGAGCATGGCCGCCTGGATGCGCGGCCAGGGGCACATGTAGATGCAGACCTGTTCGCGCATGATGCCACCAAAAACATAGGTGGTGGCCGTCAGGACGGCGACCGTGGCGTAGGCGATGAACGGCGCCTGTCCGGTGGCGAAATTGTAGGCCAGGGTGGGTGCGTCCGCGAAATAGAAGATCCAGGCGCCGCCGGTGGCCACCGCGATGACCAGCCATGTCGCGTGCTTGGCCAGCTTCTTGGCGATTTTCGAACCGGTCCAGGGTTCCTTGTCGAGCCGGATGCGGGCGTTGCGGTCGCCCTCGAAAAAGCGCTCGATGACCAGAAACAGGTCGGTCCAGACGGTTTGCGGGCAGGTGTAGCCGCACCAGGCGCGGCCGACCACCGAGGTGATCAGGAACAGGCCAACGCCCGCCATCACCAGAAGGCCGGCGATGTAGATGAACTCCTGCGGCCAGATCTCGACGAAGAAGAAGTAGAAGCGCCGGTTGGCCATGTCGATCAGGACAGCCTGGTCGGGCGCATGCGGTCCGCGATCCCAGCGCAGCCAGGGCGTGATGTAGTAGATGCCCAGCGTGACCGCCATGATGATCCATTTCAGGCGGCGATATGTGCCTTCGGCGCGCTTGGGGTGGACTTTCTGGCGGGCTGCGTAAAGCGGTTGCGCGTTTTGTTTCGCGCCCTTGTTGACGGCTTCAACGTCAAGCTTTTCGACGGCGGTCTGATCCAACACACTATGCCTCTTTAACGGGCTTGTACGGAACCGGGGAACGCATGCGTCCCCCGGCAATATCCAAAGCTGTAAATGGAAGGTCGCAACCGGTCGTTGATTTGGGTCAACCGGGCCCGTGCCGTGGGTGCGACAGCTTGTCAGGGGCGGGCGGCGATTTTTGCCGGTGAACCGGGGGCCACGAAAAACGGCGCCCGGAGGCGCCGTTCGTCGACCAGTTCGCGGGAGAATGGGTGGCCTACTGGCCGCCGCCGAGTTGGTGCACGTAGACCGCGAGCTGCTTGACCGTCGTCTCGCCCAGGCGGTCGCCCCAGGCGGGCATGACGCCCTGCTGCGGATTGTTGATCTGGGCGACGATCTCGGCATGGCTGCCGCCATAGAGCCAGATCGCGTCGTTGAGGCGCGGTCCGCCCAGTTCGGGCACGCCTTCGCCGTCGATGCCGTGACAGGCCGAGCATTCGATCTCGAACGTCTCGGCGCCGCGCGCGGCGGCCTCCTCGTCATATTCCTGGCCGGACATCTGGCGCACATACCAGGCGACATCCGAGATCTGGTCGCGATCGAGAATCTGGTCGCGGCCATAGGCCGGCATGTCGTTGAAGCGCGTGTCGAGATCGGGCTCGTGGCGGATGCCGTGGCGGATGGTCCAGGCGATGTCCTCGAGCGTGCCGCCCCAGATCCAGTCATCGTCGTTGAGGTTGGGATAGCCCTCGCCGCCGGCGGCGCCCGAACCGTGACACTGCACGCAGTAGACCTTGAAGGCGGACGAACCGCCGGCCACGGCGAACTGGACCAGTTCCGGATCGGCCGCGATCGCGTTGACATCGGCCTGTTCGATGCGGCTCAGATAGACCGCCTGTTCGGCCCGCGCCGCGTCCATCTCCTCGGCCAACTGGCCGCGCGAGGACCAGCCCAGAACGCCGGCGGTGGCGCCGGTGATGCCGGGCCATGCCGGGTAGGCGATGGTGTAACCGATCGTCCAGACGATCGTGGCGTAGAAGGTCCACAGCCACCAGCGCGGCAGCGGGTTGTTCAACTCCTTGATGCCGTCCCACTCATGGCCGGTGGTTTCGACGCCCGAGACTGCATCGATGTCTTTCTTGTCATCGGCCATTTGTTCAGTCCTCCTTGAAGGGGATTTGTGCGGCGTCGTCGACGTGCTTCTGGGAGCCGGGCCGGAAGATCCAGAAGACGACGAACAGGAAGATCGCCATCAGGTAGACCAGTCCCCAACTGTCGGCGAAGGTGCGCATGGCTTGGTAGTCAAAGTCCATCGTGCCAACTCCTAGCGGAAGTTCTCTTCGGGCTGGTAGACGGTGAAGTCGACCAGGGTTCCGAGCATTTGCAGGTAGGCGACGAGCGCATCCATCTCGGTCAGCCGAGCGGGATCGCCATCGAAGTCGCCGGTGACGGCCTTGGGATAGCGTTCCTCGATGCCCGACCAATCGGCGTCGGGATCGGCCTGCGCGGCGAGATCGGCCTCGGCGTTCTCGACCATCTCGTCGGTGTAGGGCACGCCGACACGCCGGTTGGCGATCAGATGACCCGATACGTTCTCGATGGTCAGATCCGTGGTGGCCAGGAACGCATAGGACGGCATGATCGATTCGGGCACGACCGACTGCGGGTCGATCAGGTGCTGAACCTGCCACTCGTTGGAGTAGCGGCCGCCGACCCGGGCCAGATCGGGCCCGGTGCGTTTCGATCCCCACTGGAACGGATGGTCGTACATCGATTCGGCGGCCAGCGAGTAATGGCCGTAGCGCTCGACCTCGTCGCGGAACGGGCGGATCATCTGCGAGTGGCAGACATAGCAGCCCTCGCGGATGTAGATGTTCCGTCCGGCCAGTTCGAGGGGCGAATAGGGACGCATCCCTTCCACTTCCTCGATGGTGTTTTCCAGATAGAACAGCGGCGCGATCTCGACGATGCCGCCGATGGAGACGACCACCAGCGAACTGACCAGAAGCAGCGTCGCGTTCTTTTCCAGAATGGAGTGTTTGTCGATAAGAGCCATTTCCCGGGGCCTCCTTATTCAGCCGGCTGGGCGACGGGTTGCGGGGCTTCTTCGCCCATGGGCACCTCGTCGCGCAGCTTGCCGCGGATCGTCATGTAGATGTTGAAGCCCATGATCAGGCCGCCGACCAGATAGAGCAGCCCGCCCAGCGTGCGCAGCACGTAGTAGGGGTGCATGGCGGCCACCGATTCGGCGAACGAGTACACCAGGAAGCCCTGATCGTTGTACTCGCGCCACATCAGGCCCTGCTGGATGCCGGCCACCCACATGACGGCGGCGTAGACGACGATGCCCAGCGTTGCGAGCCAGAAGTGCCAGTTGACCATGCGCAGCGAGTAGAGCCGCTGGCGGCCCCACAGCTTGGGCACCAGGAAGTAGACCGCGCCGAACGAGATCATGCCGACCCATCCCAGCGCGCCCGAATGCACGTGGCCGATGGTCCAGTCGGTGTAGTGGCTGAGCGAGTTGACCGCCTTGATCGACATCATCGGGCCTTCGAAGGTCGACATGCCGTAGAAGGCGACGGCGATCACCATCATGCGCAGGATCGGGTCGGTGCGCAGCTTGTCCCAGGCGCCCGAGAGCGTCATCAAGCCGTTGATCATGCCGCCCCAGGAGGGCATCCACAGCATGATCGAGAAGACCATTCCCAGCGTCTGCGCCCAGTCGGGCAGGGCGGTGTAGTGCAGGTGGTGCGGACCGGCCCAGATGTACAGGAAGATCAGCGCCCAGAAGTGGATGATCGACAGCCGGTAGGAATAGACCGGCCGGCCGGCCTGCTTGGGAACGAAATAGTACATCATGCCCAGGAAGCCCGCGGTCAGGAAGAAGCCGACGGCGTTGTGGCCGTACCACCACTGCGTCAGCGCGTCCTGAACGCCGGAGAACAGCGAATAGCTCTTCGCGCCCAGGAACGAGACCGGCATGGCCAGATTGTTGACCACGTGCAGCATCGCAATGGTGATGATGAAGGCGAGGTAGAACCAGTTGGCCACATAGATGTGCGGCTCCTTGCGCTTCATCAGCGTGCCCATGAAGACCAGCAGATAGGCGACCCAGACGATCGTCAGCCACAGGTCGACATACCATTCCGGCTCGGCATATTCGCGGCCGGCGCTGCCGCCCAGCAGATAGCCGGTTGCGGCCATGACGATGAACAGCTGGTAGCCCCAGAAGACGAACCAGGCCAGGTCGCCGCCGAACAGGCGGGCGCGGCAGGTGCGCTGAACGACATAGAAGGAGGTTGCCAGCAGCGCGTTGCCGCCAAAGGCGAAGATCACCGCCGATGTGTGCAGCGGGCGCATGCGGCCGAAGTTGAACCACGGCTCGATGTTGAGCTGCGGCCAGGCAAGCTGGGCGGCGACGACGACACCGACCAGGAAGCCGACAATGCCCCAGGCCACCGTGGCGATGGCGCCGTAGCGGACGACACTGTCGAAATATTGCGATTCGCTGGCGGCATCGCCGCCGGCGGGTGCGAATTTGGCGGTGCGCAGCAGCACGGCGGTCGAGCCGAGCAGCACGACGGTCAGGATGCCCATGTGCACCCTGAACAGTTGATCCTGGCCGAGCGCCGCTCCGAGCAGCGCCAAAAAGGCGCCTGCTCCCACCAGCACGACCCAGCTTGCGTTTCTCATTGATTGTCCTCTCGCACTTGCATGTACACGATGGCGTGCCCCCGCACGTCGGCGTGCAATTGCGGCCCGGCCATGCCGGGTCATGACCGTCTCTGCCCGAGGGCCGGTATGCGTGCTTTGATCTTGATCAAGGACCCGACTGAGGTAGCACGTCTACTTTCGGCTGCATCGGAAAGCGCAACCTCGGGGCATGCCGGATGAATTTGCCGACCAACAACGGTGCGGGCGCGAGCGATGCAGGCAATGGGGGCGCCGCTTTGCGCATCGTCGGCAAGGGCGCGGACGAAGAGGCGCGCCGGAAGGGCATCGACCAAGCCGCGAACGGCAATGGTGCTTCCGTCGTCGCGATCGCAGGGACGCTCAAGCACCACATGAATGTGCAGCACAATCTGTGCAGCGCGCTGGAGGCCTTGGCCGACAAGCTGCCCGCCGATGTCCGCAACGACGACTGTCTGGCGCTGGCCCGCAGCGTCTATCCGATCGTGCACCGCAGCCATGTGTTCGAGGAACAGACGCTGTTTCCGTTCCTGAAGGCACAGTGCGCCGACGTGCCCGATCTCGGCGATACGCTGGATCGCCTGCATGGCGAACACTGGGAGGACGAGGCCTTCGCCGAGGAGGTGCACCACGAGCTGGTGGCGTTCGCCGCCGACCGCTCCCAGATCAATGTCGAAAAGCTCAGCTACATGCTGCGGGGCTTCTTCGTGGGCCTGCGTCGCCACCTGGCCTTCGAGCGCGAGCATCTGCTGCCGATGGTCGAAGCGCTGGAGGATGGTCGATGAATCTCGCCGTCAAGCATGATGTCACGGCGCTTCTGTCGCAGCGCGGCGGGGCCGTGCCGCGCTATACGAGCTATCCCACCGCGCCGCATTTCGAGGCCGGTCTGGGACCGGCGATGCAGGCCGAACTGTGCGCGGCGCTCGACGAGACCGATCCGGTCTCGGTCTATCTGCACGTCCCGTTCTGCGACCGTTTGTGCTGGTTTTGCGGCTGCAACACCAAGCACACGCTGAAATATGAACCGGTGCGCACCTATGTGGATGCGCTGCTCGACGAGATTGCCGGTTTCGGCAAGTCGCTCGGGTTGCGGCCGCGCGCGGGGCAGGTGCATTTCGGAGGCGGCTCGCCGTCGATCCTGTCGGCCGAGGATATGGGGCGGATCGGCGCGGCCCTGCGCGAGGCATTTGTCGTCGGCCCGCAGACCGAGATCAGCGTCGAGATCGATCCGTCCGATGTCACCGAAGAGACGCTGCGCGGGCTGGGCGATCTGGGCGTTACGCGGGCCAGCGTCGGCGTTCAGGATTTCGATCCGCTGGTGCAGCGCGCCATCAACCGGCCGCAGACATTCGAGCAGACGCGCGATGTTATCGCGGCGATGCGCGCCGCCGGGGTCGGCTCGGTCAACATCGATGCGCTTTACGGCCTGCCGCTGCAGACCCGGCCGCGACTGATGCGGACGATCGATCAGGTCGTCTCGCTCGATCCCGACCGGATTGCGCTGTTCGGCTATGCCCATGTGCCGTGGGTCAAGAAGCACCAGAAGATGATCAAGGCCGAGCATCTGCCGGACATGCACGAGCGCTTCCAGCAGGCGCTGGCGGCGGGTGCCGCACTGGCCGAGGCCGGCTATGACACGATCGGCATCGACCATTTCGCCAAACCCGGCGACGGTCTTGCGGTGGCGGCGCGCAGCGGGCATCTGCGGCGCAACTTCCAGGGTTACACGACCGACCGGTGCCATGCGCTGATCCCGTTCGGCGCCTCGTCGATCGGCGCATTCGAAGGCGGCTATGTGCAGAACATCGTCGCCACGGGCCAGTACCAGGAGGCCGTGCGGTCGGGCCGGAGCGCTGCGGCCAAGGGCTACCGCATGACAGCGGACGACCGCATCCGCGCCCACATGATCGAGCGCCTGATGTGCGACTTCCGGATATCTTTCGACGATTTGGAGGCCCGGTTCGGCGATGCGGCCGAGCCCTATGTCAACGAGGCTGTGGCGCTGGCCGAGGCCGATGCCGACTTTGTCTGCGGCGCCGATCCGGACGGCTTCTTCGTGCCCGATACGGCGCGTCCGTTCACGCGGCTGGTCGCCGCACGGTTCGACGCGCATCTCAAGGGCTCAGATTTCCGCTATTCGAAGGCGGTCTAGCCGCCGCTACTGCTCGTTCTCGCAAGCGCCCTGCAGGCGGGCCAGCGATGGCACGATCACCGTGCGGTTGTTTTCCAGCTCGATAATGCCGGACTTGCGCAGCTTGGTGATCTGCCGGCTGACCGTCTCGATGGTCAGGCCGAGGAAGTCGGCGATCTCAAGACGCTTGAGCGGCAGTTCGAATCGGATCGTGTGCTCGTCATCGTCCAGTTCGGGGTCGATGTTGGAGGCGATCAGGTAGAGAAAGCTCGCAACCTTTTCGGTCGCGGTCTTGCGGCCGAGCGTCAGCATCCATTCGCGCGCTTCGTCCAGTTCCTTGAGCGTCTGCTCGTGCAGCGCATGTTCCATGTTCGGCGCCGAGCGCGCGAGATCCTCGATCACGGATTTGGGGAAGGAACACACGCGCACGTCGGTCGCCGCCTCCGCCGAATAGCTCGATTGCGACGAGAAGATGCGGCCCAGGAAATCGGGCGCGAACTGCAGCCCGACGATCTGCTGGCGGCCGTCGGCCATCAGCTTAGTCAGTTTGACCACGCCCGACAGGATGTTGGAGTAGGTGTGCACATCGTCGCCGACAGTGATCAGTTCGGACTGGCTGCGATAGACATGTTTGGTCGTGTGCTTGGACAGCTGCACGAGCTGGTCGGGCGTCAGCGATCCACACACGCCCTTGTGCCGCGATTCGCAGGCACGGCAGACCAGCGGGACGTCGGAATTGTGAACGTCGAGACGAGGGGTCTTGCGCGCTGCGTCCTTGTTGCTTTGCACGTTCGCTCTCCCGATGTCCCAATAGTGTCAACATAACGTGACACTTGGGATTGCGCAAACTTACCGCGCGGCTTTAGTTTTTATTTGTGAAATCAGTGTGTATGCCGCAAACAACTGATTGTTTTGTGTTTTTTCTGCGTCGGGCAAGCTGCAAGGGCCTTCATGGGTTTGAATGGTCCGAAATTATTGCCTCGATTCAACCGTATCGCGGCCCTTGTTCAGCAGCGACCGATCGCATATGGCGCCCGTTTTTTCTCCGATGCAATCGGCCCGCGCCAAGCCAAGTGTCGCAGACGAAAGTCTAACCTGCTGTTGCGGTCTGGAGCCGCGTTGATCGGCTTGGCGGATCGGGCTAAGCGCGGAGCCGCCCAACAGGAGCCGCGATCATGACCGATCTCCCCAAAACGCCCTCATTCCGGCTGGAGGGACGGCGCACGCTGGTCGCCGGCGCATCGAGCGGCATCGGGCTGGGCTGCGCGGTCGCGCTGGCCGAAGCCGGGGCGCATGTGGTGATGGCCGCGCGCGGGCGCGAAAAGCTGGACGCCGCCGTCGAAGCGGTCCGAGAGGCGGGTTTTTCGGCAGAAGCCATGACGTTCGATGTCGCCGATATCGGGGGCATGCGGTCGGCGCTTGCCGGACAGAAACCGTTCGACGTGGTGGTCAATTCGGCGGGCCTGGCGCGGCACGCGCCGGCGCTTGAGACCACCGAGGACGACTATGACGCGGTGATGGATGCCAATCTCAAGGGCGCCTATTTTCTTGCCACCGAAGTGGCGCGGGGCATGGCCGCGGCGGAGAAGGGCGGATCGATCATCACCGTGTCCTCGCAGATGGGCCATGTCGGCGGCATCGACCGCGCGGTCTATTGCGCTTCAAAGCACGCGGTCGAGGGCATGACCAAGGCGATGGCGATCGAATGGGGCGCGCACGGGATTCGCGTCAACACGGTCTGTCCGACCTTCATCCGCACGCCGCTGACGCAGGCAACATTCGACAATCCCGACCGGGTCGCCTGGATCACCGACAAGATCAAGCTCGGCCGGGTCGGCGAGGTCGAGGACATTATGGGCGCGGTGGTGTTCCTGGCGTCGGACGCCTCGGCGCTGGTCACCGGCACCTCGCTTCTGGTCGATGGCGGCTGGACGGCGGGCTGACCGTCGGTTTCAACTCATCTCGGCGAGAAGCGAGGCATTGCCGCCGGCGGCGGTGGTGTCGATGCACACATGCCGTTCGATCAGGCACCAGGGCGTGATGTCGCGCGCGGTCGCCAGCGGCACGATCGGCCCGTCGCGGCCCGCCAGCGCCCGGCGCATGGCGCGGGCCGCCGCCTCATCGCCCCAGAAGGCGACCGCGTCGAAACCGCCCAGTCTGGCCAGGTCGTCGGGGTCGAGCACACCATCGACAACATTGGCGCCGCAGGCGCCCGGCGCTACCATCAGGGCCCCGCATCCTGCCGCCATCGCCTGGCGAGCCTGTTCGTGGGCGTCGTCGAGCGACGGGCCCAGGCACAGGACCAGCCCGCGCGGATGGGTCGACCAGCGATTCGACTCGCCTGTGGGGCCGGGCAGGTCGCGCGTCTCGCGCGCCCCGGTGGCGATCTCGCCGCGCACGCGGTCCAGCCGCTGCTGGACGGTCGATCCGGCTGCCGGCCGTCCCGTCGCCGGTTCGGCCGCAATGGCCGCCTGTTTTCCAAAGCGCGGCAGATAATGCGGGCCGCCGGCCTTCGGGCCGGTGCCTGAAAGCCCTTCGCCGCCGAATGGCTGCGAGCCGACAATGGCGCCGATCTGGTTGCGGTTGACGTAGATGTTGCCAGCATGGATCGCCGAAGCGATCTGCTCGACGCGGTCGTCGATGCGCGTGTGCATGCCGAAGGTCAGGCCGTAGCCGGTCGTATTGATCGCCGCCACGACATGGTCGATATCGCCGGCGGCGAAGGTCGCCACATGCAGGACCGGGCCGAACACCTCGCGCGTGACCTCCTCGATGCCGGACACGCGAATGACCGACGGCGAAACGAAGGTGCCGCGGTCCGGAATGGCGAGTCGTTTCAGAAGGTTGCCGGTCTTTTCTGCGGCATCGATATAGGCGCGGATTTGGTCGCGTGCGGCGGCGTCGATTACCGGGCCGATGTCGGTCGAAAGGGTCCAGGGGTCGGCAACGGCCAGTTCGTCCATGGCGCCGAACAGCATTTTCAGGAACGGCTCGGCGATATCTTCCTGCAGATAGAGAACGCGCAGCGCCGAGCAGCGCTGACCGGCCGAGCGGAAGCTTGAGACGATGATGTCGCGCACCGCCTGTTCGGGCAGGGCGGTCGAATCGACGATCATCGCATTGATGCCGCCGGTCTCGGCGATCAGCGGCGCGGACGGCGCGAGGTTGCCGGCCATGGCGCGGTTGATCGTCTGTGCCGTCGCGGTCGAGCCGGTGAAGCAGACGCCGCCGACGCGCCGATCCGAGGTGATCGCCGCGCCAACGGTGCCGCCCCTTCCCGGCAGCAATTGCAGCGCTGTGCGCGGCACGCCGGCCTGGTGCAGAAGTCCGACGGCGCGGTGCGCGATCAGCGCGGTGGCTTCGGCGGGCTTGGCGATCACGGCGTTGCCTGCGGCCAGCGCCGCCGAAATCTGCCCCGTGAAGATGGCAAGCGGGAAGTTCCAGGGAGAGATGCAGGCAAACGTGCCGACCGGTTCGGCATCCGGCGCCTTTTGCGCCTCAGCCGCATAATAGCGCAGGAAGTCGATCGCCTCGCGCAGTTCGGCGATGGCGTCCTCGGTGATCTTGCCCGCTTCGCGCGTCAGGATGGCGAACAGTTCGCCGAAATTGTCTTCGTAAAGACCGGCGGCGGCGTTCAGGACCGCGGCGCGGTCGGCGACCGCGGCATTCCATGGTCGGGCCGCGCCAAGCGCGGCCTCGATGTCGGCTTGCGTCGCTTCATGCACCGTGCCGACATGATCGTCGCGGCGGGCAGGGTTGGTGACGGACGCCGGTTTGCGGTCGGGGTCGTCGCGGTCTTCTGCGAGCAACGGCGCGGCGGCCCATTGGCGGTCGCGCCATGGCGACCGCGCGTCTTCGATGCGGGCGATGTCGGCCGGATCGTAAAGGTCGAAACCCTTTGAGTTGGCGCGTTCGGGCGCGAAGAGGTCGGCGGGCCGGCGCACCTGCCGGTCCGGGGCGTTGGCGAGCGCGTCGAAGGGGTCGGCGGCAACTGTCTCGGGCGGGACGGCCTTGTCGACGATCTGGTTGACGAAGGAGGAATTGGCGCCGTTCTCCAGAAGCCTACGAACCAGATAGGCCAGAAGGTCCTTGTGCGCGCCGACCGGCGCATAGATTCGGCAGCGCGTTCCTTCGGTTTGAAGTACGCGCGTGTGCAGGCTTTCGCCCATGCCGTGCAGACGCTGGAACTCGTATGTCTTCGGATCGGCGCCCATCTCAAGCACCGACGCCACTGAATGAGCGTTGTGGGTGGCGAACTGCGGATAGATGCGGTCCGTCAGGTTCAACAGATGCCGCGCGCAGTGCAGCCAGGCGGCATCGGTCGCCGGTTTGCGGGTGAAGACGGGAAAGCCTTCGAGCCCGGCCATCTGCGCCCATTTGATCTCGCTGTCCCAATAGGCGCCCTTGACCAGACGCACCATGATCCGCCGGTCGTGCCGTTCGGCCAGTGCATGAAGCCAGTCGATCACCGCCATCGCCCGTTTGCCATAGGCCTGGACGACCACGCCGAACCCGTCCCAGCCGGCAAGGTCCGGATCGGCGATCACCTGTTCGATGACATCGAGGGACAGCTCGAGCCGTGCCGCTTCTTCGGCATCGATGTTCAGTCCGATGCCGGCCCGGGCGGCAAGGCGCGCGAGTTGTGCCGCGCGCGGCACGAGTTCGGCGAGGACACGCCCGCGCTGCGGCTCCTCATAGCGCGGATGCAGGGCGGAGAGCTTGATGGATATGCCCGGATTGTCCTTGACCGCGCCATGCGTTGCGGCCTTTCCGATGGCGTTGATCGCCGCCATATAGGCCGTGTAATAGGTGTCGGCGTCGCGCATGGTTAGCGCCGCTTCGCCCAGCATGTCGTAGGAATAGGTGAAGCCCCTGGCTTCCATCCCCGCCGCGCGTTCCATGGCCTCGCCGATCGACTGGCCGAGCACGAATTGCCGGCCCAGTTCGCGCATCGCCTGCTTGACGGCGGTGCGGATCACCGGCTCGCCCAGCCGCTTCACCGCGCCGTGCATGACCGAGGCGAACCCGCCTTTGGGCGGATCGCGCAGCACATTGCCCGTCAGCATCAGCGCCCAGGTCGAGGCGTTGACCAGCGAGGAAGCCGACCGGCCCAGATGCTCGCCCCAGGCCGATGGGGCGATCTTGTCCTCGATCAGCGCATCCATCGTGTCGGCGTCGGGAACCCTGAGCAGGGACTCGGCAAGGCACATCAGCGCGATGCCCTCGTCGGTCGAAAGCCCGTATTCAGCCAGAAACACCTCCATCAGGCCGGGCGTGTCCATCTTGCGGATGTCGCGCACCAGCGCCGAGGCCCGGAGATGGGCGTTCTTGCGCGCTTCGTCACCGATCGGCGCGGCGGATGCCATGTCGGCCAGCGGCTCGGCCTCGTCGGCCAGGTGCAGGCGGGCGATGCGTTGGCGATGGGACGCCAACGCATCGGATGGGGGGAGCGGTGCGTCGTTCATTTCGCCAGTCTAGCTCACAGCAGCGAGGCATGTTGCCCCTTGATCGGCAGCTGGAAGGCAATATGAATGGAAAATCGCCTGAAAAACAGGAGTTTTGCCGATGAACCATGCGATTGAAGCCGATCTGGACCGTTTCGATCGCCGGATCGTCGAGGAACTGAGCCGGGACGGGCGCATGCCGGTGACGACGCTGGCCGGCCGGGTCGGCCTGACCAAGACGCCCTGCCAGACGCGGCTCAAGCGGCTGATCGACAGCGGCGTGATCCGCGGCTTCCGCGCGGTGGTCGATCCGCGCCGCATCGGGCGCGAGCATGTCGCCTTTGTCGAGGTCAAGCTGAACGACACGACCGAAGCGGCGCTGACGGCGTTCAACAAGGCGGTGGCGGCGCTGACCGAGATCGAGCAGTGCCACATGATCGCCGGGCCGTTCGACTATCTTTTGAAGGTACGCACGCGCGATATTGCCTCCTATCGCCGGGTGCTGGGCGAGAAGATCTCGGCGCTGCCGCATGTCGCCAACACCTCGACCTATGTGTCGATGGAGGCGGTCAAGGACACCGGCGCGTAAGCGGCCTCGCTCTTGCGGCCTGGCTGTGGCAAACTATGTGCGGCGCAGCAAGCGTCCGGAGAACGCCATGATCAGCGCCATCGTCTATGCCCTTCTGGTCACCGTGGCCGCGGCCTCGGGCGGCATCTTCAAGCCCGGCGAATGGTACGAGAAGCTCGACAAGCCCGGCTGGACGCCGCCGAACTGGGCGTTCCCGGTCGTCTGGACGATCCTGTACCTGATGATGGGGGCGGCGGGCTGGATCGTGTGGCGGCTCGAGGGCTTCGGTATCGTCACGGTGCTTTGGCTGGCGCAGCTCGTCTTCAATGCGCTGTGGTCCTACCTTTTCTTCGGCATCAGGCGCATGGACTGGGCGCTGATCGATTCGGGGGCCATGTGGCTGACAATTGCCGCCTTCATCGTTCTGGCTTGGCCGGTCTCGATCACAGCGGCGCTTTTGTTCGTGCCGTATCTGGTCTGGGTGAGCGTCGCGTTCGCGCTCAACAAACGGGTGCTGGATCTCAATCCGGACGCGGTGCCGACACGCGTCTGAAGGCGCGGTGGCGGAACCACAGTTCCGCCAGATGCATCACAAAGCCCAGCGACAGGAAGCCGGCGATCGCAAGAGCGCCATGGCCGATCAGGGCCGAGCGCAACGCCGCCATCAGCGCCAGCCCCGAAAGCGTGTTGAAGATCAGCGTGCGCCGCGCGGCGGGCGTGCGGTAGAGGAACAGAAAAACCGCCAGCTCCAACAGCAGAACCGCCATGGCGATCTCGGCCAGCCGGCCGGACGCGGCAATTTCGGCCAGCCATTCCGTCAGAGTTGCCACGGAGCGCTCAGGTCGTGCGGGCGAAGCCGAGAAGCTGGGCGGTGTCCTTGACCATGATCTTGAGGTGGGCGAGCGGGTCGCGGCGCACCAGCTTCTTGTTC